CCTAGTCAAGAAGCAACCAATGAATGCATAAATAAGTGGGACAACAAATTAATGTCTCTCTCTCCCCCCCCCCACCCCCTTCCCTCTCCCTCCCTTTCTCTAAAAAAAACCCCACAAACTATCAATAAAAAAGAGGCATGCTTTAAAAAAAAATTTAAGATCTGCAACCAGTGTTAATATTTCCAGGGAGTCCTACTCATAAGGCCTTAAATTTAGAAGCTGAAGATCCTGAAGGTATAGTGGGAAGGAGGTGTTGGGGAAAAGTCTGATCAAGTAGCTAAGGTTATGATTTTGAATCTAATCATTCTTATCCTCAAGTGAAGATCTCTTTTGGACATGAACTCCTTATTAAGTCCCTTTTTGGTGCCTTTAAACTGTAACTTCATTTTTGTAGATTTTTTAAGCTAAAGTCCAAAATGAAAATCTTATTCTTTCCTTTCTGTTGGCTTTTTTCCCCCATTATCACATTTCTTTGTTGATGTTGTTAATCCTCACCCAAGGATATTTTTTCTCATGACTTTTGAGAGAGTGGAAAGGAAGGAAGGATGGGGAAAGAGAGAAACATTGATGTGAGAGAGACACATTGATTGATTGCCTCCACACACGCTCCAACCAGGGCTGGGAATTGAACCTGCAACCCAGGTATTTGCTGATGCTCTAACCACTGAAAAACACCAGCCAAGGCCTTATCACATTTCTTATTTACCTGTTCCATCTACCTGCTTTGTTCATCAGACATGATCTTTTTACTCATATGCTTTAGTTATTGAGGGATCACAGTGTAGACCTGGTCTCTGGTCAGCTACCTTGGGCTTCCCTCCCCTGGTCACTTCCCTGCCCCCAGCAATGTGTCTTCTGGATTCTCCCTTTCAGTCAAGAACCCTATTGAGGCAAGCGTCCTGATGGCTGAGGCCTCACTAGCACGGAAGCAGCGGAAAACACATACCACCTTTATTCCGCTGATGCTGAGTGAGATGCCACAGGCTGGGGACCTGGTGGGCCTGGATGCCGAATTTGTCACCCTTAATGAGGTAACCAAGGCCGAAAAGTGTAGAACGTTAGAACAGGAATCTGGGGATACTAAGAGTCCTAAGTATTTCTCTGATTTCCTTAACTCTTCTTATGCAGGAGGAAGCAGAGTTGCGCAGCGATGGTACCAAGTCTACCATCAAACCAAGTCAGATGTCAGTAGCTCGGATTACCTGTGTTCGGGGCCAGGGGCCCAATGAGGGCATCCCTTTCATTGATGACTACATCTCTACCCAGGAGCAGGTATTAGATTATGGAAGTGCAAGTGGCACAGACCCTGTGCTTATGTAGAGTGCTCTGGAACCCAGGGAGGAGTGGCAGGGGGAGTCTGTACCTCACTTCCTGAGAGACTTGTCTTTTTTTCTATCCCTAGGTCGTGGATTACTTGACTCAATACTCAGGAATAAAGCCAGGAGATCTCGATGCCAAGATTTCCTCTAAGCACCTCACAACTCTCAAGTCTACCTACTTAAAGCTTCGTTTTCTCATAGACATTGGAGTCAAGTTTGTGGGTCATGGTCTGCAGAAGGACTTCCGGGTCATCAATCTCATGGTTCGGGCAGGGCTATTTTAAGAGTCTTCTTTGCGTATGGGCCACTCAGGGTATACGTTGTGCCTTTGGGGAATGGGAAGATATGGGCTCCCTTATCTTTAGCCTTCCGTTCTTTTATTCCTGCCAGGTGCCCAAGGACCAAGTCCTTGACACAGTCTATCTGTTCCACATGCCCCGAAAACGAATGATTTCCCTGCGATTCCTTGCTTGGTACTTTCTGGGTGAGTTGCTCTGCCTTGAAGATCCTTGTGGAGCTCATTAAGAGCAGGAAAAAGTGTTGGAGGGGCCAAAGGGAGGAAAAAGGACCCCAAGTTAGAGGTGAAGTTATTAGAGGACTTAATTAGCTTCAGTATCCCTTCTGTACACCAGGGATGGTGTTTGGCCTCTTCTCTTAAAGGCAGTAGGTTTTTTATTGCTTATTGGGAGTTGGGGATGTGAGTAGGGGACATGTTCTTATCTTCCTTGGCTAGGTCTCAAACTATTCCACCTCTACCTCCCCAGACCTGAAGATTCAAGGGGAGACCCATGACAGTATTGAAGATGCGCGCACAGCCCTTCAGCTTTACCAGAAGTATCTGGAGCTAAGCAAGAATGGCACTGAGCCCGAGTCCTTCCACAAAGTGCTCAAGGGCCTGTATGAGAAGGGCCGAAAGATGGACTGGAAGGTGCCTGAGCCCGAGGGCCAGACAAGTCCCAAGAGTAAGGCCTGGGATGGGACAAGGGAAACTGAACTGGGTGGGTTTTGACTGTGTATGTGACAATTATACCCACCATAATAATAATAATGATGATAACAACAGTACCATCCCTACCTTACATACTTGCAAAGCACTTAACAGTGTACAAAGCATTTAATCCAACCGTCAGTGAAATAGCTTTTGTTGCTGAGACTCTCCTCTTGGCCAGTTCTGAAATGTTTGGGGCAGGTCCAGGCCCGCTTTCCTCTTGCATTTTTCCTTCCTAAGAAGAATCCAAGGTACTTTTTCTTCACTCACCTTAAGACTCAATGTTCTTGGTTTTATCTCTGGCAGATGCAGCTGTTTTTTCTTCAGTGCTGGCACTCTGACCTCATCCTCTCCCAACCAGCTTCCGCCTCTCCCTTCAGTGTTCTGTGGCCTCAGAACTGGGAGATAGCTTCCTAAGTTGGCTATACCCTGTCTACTTCCAGAATTGAACCTGCTCAGGGTTTACAGGTGGTGCTATTAATAGAACTGGAATGCAACAGAATTGTTGCAAAGGGTCTAGCAGCCAGATTCCTTTTACATCCTTTGCAAAAAACAGAGTCTAGATGAAAAGTAATTGGTATTCTTAATAAATACCCTGGGTGAGTAATATCCAGGCAAAGAAGATCCTGGAACCAAAACTTGCAGTTCCTAGTTGGCTAGGTACTGGAGAGTAACCGGATACAACAGTAGTTCAAGACTTAGCTCAAGCTCAAGTCTGTGACTGCTTGAAGAATGCCAGGAAGCCAGCACAGAGTCTTGGTGGCCCTAGCAGACCAGTGTTGCCAACACCATCATTGCCAAAAGGGCCCTTGAGTCCAAGACAAAGCTTGGCTGCTGGCTTCCTTCCTGCCGACAGCTGAGAAGCATCTGTCTTCCATCCACTCCACTTTCCTGTTACAAGTTTCGTTTTCTTGTTATTTTTTAAAGTTTTGTTTTAAACTGCATGTTTTATAAAATAAAAACAAAAATATTATTGACTGTCATCTATCTCATTGGAGACCTGCGAGTGCGGGGTTCTCTTTGGCCTTCCTCTCCTTTCTCTGTGTTGTCTTTAATGGGGAAATCTAAGGCTTTTAAATTCCCACTTAGAATTAAAGGTAAAGCTCTGTGGAGTCCAAAGTTAAGGATGTTGGAGGAGTATAATTAATGTCTGACCTGGACAGCGTTAGGTCAACGCTGTGGCTGCCTCAGGTCGGTTTCTTTTAAGACCTACAGTCGGACTTACCAGGTAACGGTGGAAGGGGAGTGGAGAAGCTGACAAACTACAGGTCCCAGGACACCTTACAACCTGTGGCTACTAATGGGGTCTGCGTGGTGCTGCGATGCTCCCTGGGAGATGTAGTTTCCAGGGAAATTAAACGAGCTTTTTATTCTAATAGTTGAAAGTATTACAAAAGTAACATGTAAATCGGGCTCCGTATGGGCCATCAGCGCACCTTCGTTTTTGAAGGTCCCAGCCCACTAGACGCGCACGAGAGCGCCCGCCCG